CACAGTTAATATCTTCCAAAAAGGATGCCAGTCTTCCTTGTCCCTTTTTTAAAGGGTGAAAGAGAACATTTAGATGTTCTCTTTGTAATACCAAAGAGAGTCTGAACTGAATTTGGAGTTTGAACAATAAGCTAGATGGGCAGCTCAAGTCAGAATTTTGATGTCAGAAGGAGGGGGAATTCAGACTGGTGGGACTTCTAAGACCCACTGTCAAAAAGTTCTCAAGACAGTTATGCAGCATCCTCAGGGCTAAAGTTTGTCCTCTGTAAAAGTACCCCACACAAGAAAACCATCACGTCACAGATCATCCCAAAGAATCGACGCAGTCTCACAGGCTGATGACAAGTTGACATCTAAGGTCACAGACTAGTTTTCTTTGGGGATGCCCTCATAGAATGGAAGAGCAGCATCAGCAAAATGTCACTGAAAGCTGTCACCAAATACAACAAACAAGGCAGAGCACCGCTCAGTAATGCATCAACAGCCCAGTAAATCTAGAGTCTTCAATGCCTTTCCTGAAGGTTGCAACAGAATATTGTGTTAAAGTAGTTTCTCGGTCCCAGCATAGATACATGAAGCCCTACAGAGAATGGCAGTGCCTGGCTTCTTCCTAACTATGGCATTTGGTGTTTTCCCAGGCATTTCTCTTTCTTGAAAAGTTTTAGCCAAACTCCTATGACAGTACTTGTCACTTACAGAAATCAGAAAGAAAGTCACTAACAACTGGGTACAGCATGAAAAGACTGAGCTCCACTTTTCTAAGGAGGTAATCAACAATCAGTGAATAGGAAATGTCAAATCAGGCAGTGGTTTTTAGCATAGGCTCTAAGACAGAGAGACCTGGGATCTAGTCCTACCTCTTTCACTTATTGTTTTATGACCTTAGGACATTATTTAACATTTCTGAGCCTCAGTTTCCTCAACTTTAAAATGGGAGCAGTAATAGAACACATTCTATGGGATAGCAGAAAGGATTAAATTAAATGATATAAGTAAAGCGCTTGGTACAGTGCCTGGCACATAATAAATTATGAAAATATGTTAGCTACTTTTACAATAATAATAATTATTATCATCTTCATTACTAGTTATAATTAGGAAATACTTTTCAAAAGTGATCACTTTGAATTTAATTTGCATGCCATCTGATCTGGAAGTATAATAAGGGTATCCAATTCCTACTGATTTAGTGAGTCAAACAGAAAACCAAAACAAATTGAATCATTCAACTGGTGTATTTAGAATTGCTGATGATTATAGCATTCAAGAAAGTTAGTGAAATACATAAATTGCAATTAAACTGTTCTTGAAAATCCCCCAAATCGTTTTCATTTGTCTAGTCCAATGGTGGGTAGGGCTTGTTCATTTTAAAAACTGTACGTTTAGAACCTTCTGAAAAGGAAACATTGTGGAACGTGAACATGGAGGAGATAAGAGGTGTTGATACAAAGATGGTATGCCAAAACCAGGTATGTTCCATCTCTGAATACAATGCATTGCATTCACATATTCCTTTATGCTTTTCCAGGAATTATCACTGCACTGCCACTTCATTGCACACACTCACACACACACATACACACACAGAGGGGAGACCACAATGTACACACTCAGTCTCTTTGTATCCAGCACTGATTCTCTCCCATATCAGCTCTGCTGTCAGCAACCAGCATGCAGATGGAGGGGAAGGTATGGTGTTAGAACAAATGCTACAGGTCCACTCCTGAAAATTTCATTCACAGGATAATCTGATTAGCAAAATTTGAGAGAGGATGGTATACGCATATCTTTTATCATCTAATTCAAAACAACTCCACAACACAGCTTGGACAAAATACTAGTATCAAAGGTTCTAATATAGCATAATTTGTGTTGAGTGTGTTGCATTCTGACAGTGGTATAAACCAGGGAGACAGTTTACTGACAATTCTGTGCTACCAGATACCAACTCAGGCCTCTGTCCAGCTTTACATTGTCAACTCTCATGGAAACATGAGCAGTTACACAGCCCCAGAGGATGCTGAAGTTTGGATTGCAAAAGATGAGATGGACAGATTTCATATTCTCACTGCAGATTTTTTTTTTTGCCTTTTCAGACTGCTGAGCATAATTGTTTTTAAAGGCAGGAAATGCAACTAGTGTTTGTTTCTAGCATGGCTTCTGTTTTGAGATTTCTTCTTTGTAGAAGAAATGTGTTGCCCACCTGTCTAGAATCCCAATCAGGATATGGTTTCAGTATGAAATATATTACAAGAATGATTTTAGCTGGTTATAAACAGGAATGGTTATAAAAAGCTGGGGTATTTTATCCAATTTTTATCCACAGTGGGGTACTTTGGTTCAGGCCAATGGCCAATATGAATACATAAGGTAATGTTCAGTTCTGTTTTTTGCCCAGGAGGGACAGTAATTCTGAAAGACAACGGTGCACATTAGTGAGCAAACAGATTCTAGGTTATAGAGATGTTCAGAAATAAGAATCGTGTGGCCACTGGCCAAAAGCACTGCAGTTAACACTTAAAAGTATGGTTCAACCCAAGCTGAACTGCTGGAGCGGTTAATGATTCTCTGTATTAATACTTCTACTATTTGCAACACACACACACACACACACACACACACACACACACACACACACACACACACACACTATACAACAGATATTAAGAGCTCCCTGTATGGAGGCTCCAGAGCTACTGGTGGTGAGTGAGGGAAGATATAAGGCTAATTTAAATCCTACCTTTTTAGGTATAGAGATTTAGGTATAGAGATTTATGGAGGAGACACATATTTCAACCAATATCCTCTTTTTTTATTCCAAGACTTTCAAATTTTAATGTTTGTGAAATATAATCACTGAATACATTTGATAAAATTCTCTTTGAAAGATGGCATTAAATCTCTGGGTCTTATAATAGATGGAATTTTAGAAGATAGATGTGCCTGTACGAATGCAAATTTAACTACCCAGCATAATGGGCACACAGAGAAGGAATCTGACTGAGGGATGTTGCAGGCTCCCTGGAGAAAACTATTTATAATCTGGGCTTTTAAGAATAAGGAGAAATCTAACCAGGCAGGAAGCTTTTGTATGTGGGATGGGAAGGAAAATATAGGAGAATATTGAAAGTAGATGGAAGAGACTATGCAAAGGCATTAAGAAATACAACAGTATGTAAATAAGGAAGTACAGTTAGGAATGTATCATGAAGGAAATTCAGAGGACCTGCAGTCAGCTAGAAGTAGCTGGGAAGCCAGATTATGTAGACTTTGTGTAAATTCTCCTGAAGGTAATGAGACATCATTGACTTTTTTTTTTTTTTAATCATTGACTTTTTAAGTGAAAGGGAAACTTAGATGTACTGAACAACTACCATGAGTCTGTTATGTTACTAAGGGAATACTACACACTATCTCATTTCATTCTCAAAAATATTTCCAAGGCACTTCCATCCTGTTTTTACTGATAAGAAACAGAGCATAAGGGAGTTAAATAAGATGCCAAGGACACAAGGAGAGAGTGTCTGGGTTTTACTCCATGTGTCTAATTCTAAACCTGTGAGCTGTCTGTAACACCATCTCAAGATGTTTTAGTCTGTTTTTCTTTCAACATTTCCTAATTTTTATTTTAAAAATTCACTGTCTTTTTTAGAGAAGTTTTAGGTTTACAGAAAAATAGAAAATACAGAGTTCCGACATACTCCCTCTTATGACTGACCACTCCCCCCAAATTTCCCCTATTAGTAACATCTTGCATTAGTGTAGTACATTTTTTACAATTGATGAGCCAATATTTATACGTTTTTATTAACTAAAGTCCATAGTTCACATTAAGGTTCACTCTTAGTGTTGTATATTATATAGATTTTGACAAATGTATAATGACCTATATAATGGCATGTATCCACTATTACAGTATCAAACAGAATAGTTTCATGGCCCTAAAAATCCCCTGTGCTTATTCTTCCCCCTCTCCCCTCAAATCCTTTGCTATCACTGATCTTTCTACTATCTCCATAGTTTTGCCTTTTCAAAAATGTCATATAGTTGAGACAACAGAGTATATAGCATTTTCAGACTGGCTTCTTTCACATAGCAATATGCATTTAAGTTTCCTTGAAGCCGTTTCATCACTTGACAGCTCATTTCATTTTATCATTGAATAATATTCCATTTTATGGATATTTTGTGGTTTGTTTGTCCAGTCACCTATTGAAGGATATCTTGGTTGCTTTCAAATTTTACCAATTACGAATAAAGCTGCTGGAAATACTGTGTGCAGTTTTTTGTGTGGACATAAGTTTTGAACTCATTTGTGTAAATACCAAGGAGCACAACTGCTGGGTAATAAGGTAAGAATATGGTTATTTTCATAAGAAACTGCTAAGCTATTTTCCGAACTAGCTGTACTATTTTCCATTTCTACCAGCATGAATGAGAGTTCCTGTTGCTCCACATCCTTGTCAGCATTTGGTGTTGTCAGTGTTTTAAATTTTAGCCATTTTAATAGGCTTATAGTAGTACTTCATAGTTGTTTTAGTTTGTAATCCTTTGATGATATTTGTATTTCCTAATTTTTAATTCTTTTACTTACCTGTTATATATTTTTCTAACATCTGTGATCTTGACTCTTACATTTTCCACCATTCATTTATTTATTCATTTATCAGCATATATTGTGTATTATATACCAGTAACATTTTTCAAAGCTAGTTTATTTTTTCCTTTTATTATCCTCTTCTTCATTTTTAGTTTGTCATATTTCACTTGTTATTTATTTCACACAACATAATAGTTAGTCTCTCTCTTTATTCTATTTACCTCCAAGTAAACTGGCTATCTTTTACTTCTCTGGTAATAATTGTTTAATTTCTTCAAATTTCTCTTTCTCCCTTCAAAGCATTTATCAGTATATATTCATAATACACATGCAGAGAGTGTGAAATATTGTTGGAGATGAAACTACTTGTAAAAAGGTCTGAACTGATGAAATCACTTACCTTGGTTGACAATAAATCTTAACTTCTGTATTGTTGCTAGATTGCCACTAACTCGATATATTCCATCAACATCTAGACCTGAAAACAAAAGGGCATGTTTTATATTCACTCATATAAAAACTGAGATGGCAAAAGAAAATAGTAATAATAATTATGGGAAGGTAGTAAATCACCACCAACTCTCTCTTCCTCACAGAGAAAGCAAATTTCTATGTCCTACACCAAGCAATCTTCAATATTTTAATACAAGCAAAATAATCATTAAGTTCAGTAACAGTTAATCATCAACAAACTTCAGTGTAGTTGAACCATAAAACAGCAGTAGGTAGCATGGGATTTCACAGTATAGTTAAGATTCATTCCCCCGAAAAAGACAGGAATCAAACTTGGGGTGGAGTAGGGAGAAGAACCTTCATGTATATATGTATTATTGCCCCTTGTTGGAAAGATAAATAACCCAAAGTGCTTGTGAAGTCTTCTTTCCTTAAAATCTCCCTCCCTCCCTCCCTCCCTCCCTTCCTTCCTTCCTTCCCTCCCTCTCCTTTACTCCCTTCTCACTTCTCTTCTGTCTCCCTTTCTTCCCTCTTTCCTATTCTTATTCTATTCTGTTTTATTCTATTCCTAGGGATTCCAATCCATTTCCATTGTTTCATTCTCTTTTCCTGCAATTACTATAGCATAACATATATTGGTCTGATTATTTGAAACTACAGAATGAAAATTCTACTACGGATGTATAACTACTTTGAAAATCTCTAGTGTATTGTAGGTAATGGGGTGCTCCATTATGGAGGGAAAAATAAAAAGAAATCTTTGACAAGATGGTGACATTAGTTCCAGATTATTTTAAAACTAGTTATCTATAATTCAAAATAACTTATCCTGGCAGTTGGTTTGGATAATCAACCACTTGTTTTCCACACATTTATTTATATCATCAGGTTATTTCCATGACCCAGTTATCAAAAAGATAAAGAAACAGGAAAATGAAAAGAGAAACATTTATTCAAACACTATTATTGTTGATAAGAAATGTTGATAACATAATTTTAATGTCAGGATTGCATATTCCTTGATGTGTCTAGACCCTCAAGGAGGCCTGGATGAGATTACCAGTTAATGTAGAGGTCAGTATCTCAGCAGTTTCTCTAGGGAGGTGGTATAGTATCATCATTAAACATTGTAATTCACAATAGATAGTACTAGATAAATTGACAGAAATTATTGTCATAATCTAACAGAATAAAATTTTTGTAAAGCTCTTTACTGACATGAAATGAGCTCCTTTATTGCTTTACCATCTCTGTTTTTAAGTATCAATACTTTATAGTAGGAACATTTCTGCTGCTGTGCAAAATATATCATCAGTAGGTTAGGACAGAATGACATAATGTGTAATACTGATATTAATGGCATAAATCAATGCCATTATTCATTCAGTTTTAAGACATTATTTTTTAAAGCAATTTTAAGTTTATATCAAGATTGAAGGGAAGGTACAGAGGTTTCCCACATACCCCTTGCCCCTGCACATGCATAGCCTCTCCCATTATCAACATCCCCCATCAGAGTGATACATTTGTTAAAACTGATGAAAACAACATTGATACAGCTAGAGTCCATAGTTTACATTAGAGTTCAGTCTTGGTGTTGTACATTCTATTGGTTTGGACAAATGTATAATGACTTGTGTCCATTATTACAGCATATACAGAGCATTTTCACTATGGTTAGGACTCCACGCTCTCACTGTCCAGGTCCCTGGTTCGATCCCTAATTGGGGAACTAAGATCAAAAGCCGTGCGGCACGGCCAAAAAAAAAAAAAAAAAAAAAAAAGCCCTCTGTGTCCCACGTACTCATCCTCACTATACTCTTCCATGTAATAACTTACATATAATGTCAATAAAATGGAATAGCTATTAACAAATGTATTAATTTGTGAGTTTTGTAGTTCTAGAATAGTCTAATAATAAATTAGTGAGCCTCTGTTCCTTCCTGAGAACTATGAATCTGTGAATTTGTGAGGAATTGAGATGAGGCTGGACACCTATTAGTGTGTGGTGAAAATGTCTAAGACACATACATTTATAAAAATCAAATGCATTCTTTTTTTTTGTTTTCTGATGCACAAAATAGCTCCATTAATCAAAGGGCACTCCAGTTCATTTTTAAGTACAATGTGCTCTCGACAACTTAAATGTGACAATCATCTTAATTAAAACTTTCCTAACGTTTGATTTTTAGTTTCAGTATTAGATCATGCTGGTCTTCAGTTTATGCACATGTGCTCAGAAACGTAATAATTTATCAACTATTTTCTTTTTTTGCTTTGTCATTTAGCTAGTGTTTGGTACTTAGCTTTAACCTGTATAATTTAAAAAATGTGATAGATTTTTAAAATTTTAAAACTTATGCATTAAAGTGTGTCCCTTTCAAAGTTCTCCCTCTTGTGGGTATCTGTACTTTTTCTAAACATGTAGTCTTTAGGGAAAACATTTTGAAATTCTTCTCTAAAATGACCTCCAGTGACTCCATATTGTCTATAGAAAAATGTTTATTGATGCAAGTTGGGGCCTTTGGTGATAGTTTTTGGTTTGGAAATAGTCAAAGGTCATTCAGAACCACAAATGGTGAATAAGGTCATCTTCCTTGCCATCACAAAGTCAAACAAAGTTTCACCAAATGAAAGCGTTCATGATGTTCCACGAGTTATCAGTTGCTCTGAAGGAACTTGAGAAAAATAATATTTTGGAAAACAGAAACATTGATGCAGTATGCAGGTCTACATTTTTCTCAAACAAGAAATCTTAATATATGTTTTTTTGGTTTGTTTTTTTTGTTTTTTTTTTTTGCGGTACGCGGGTCTGTCACTACTGTGGCCTCTCCCGCCGCGGAGCACAGGCTCCGGACGCGCAGGCTCAGCAGCCATGGCTCATGGGCCCAGCCGCTCTGTGGCACGTGGGACCCTCCCGGACCGTGGCACGAACCCGTGTCCCCTGCATCGGCAGGCAGACTCTCAACCACTGCGCCACCAGGGAAGCCCTTAATATATGTTTTTTGCAAAGAATTGGTCAAATTAGCCCTATTTAAAGTAATGATTAAAAATGAAATGTCAACAACTATTACAATAAAAAATGAGAAAATTTACCATATATTTTTTAAATTAATTTTTGTTTTGCTAATTAGTTGGACCTTTATCAAAGGTCAACAGTAAATAAAATTATTTGAATCCCAACAAATTTTTTTTACAAATAAGGACCTTACTTAAGCCTCATTTTAATAAGCATATCTCTTTATAGATATAAATCAAGTGCATTTTTATTTTGAAGCTAGAACTGTTCCTTTTCTAATATTATTTTACATGTTATTGAAATGCATGTGTTGTCTAGAGTTGTAAACTGAATTTCAATTAATGAAATTCCCTACTATCTGAAAACTTTTTCTCTTATAGAAATTTAAAGTTACAACATAGGAAGTATCCCTTTGATCTTTCATAAATTTCAGTACAAGGTTTTTTTTTTTTTTAAGTTCAGTAATCAAAAACATTTGAAAGAGCAGTATGGGTTGGTTATATTACGTATGAGCAATTGGAAAGCACTATACTGTTCAAACAAAGCAGCCTCATCCTAAATTAATAACCTAATTTTCTTCTGGAATAAAAGAAGGGAGGGTTGGGAATGGAGACAGGGAGGGTAACTCAGACCAGTGTGACCACTGTGGTTGCAGAACTAAGTCACAGTAGAGAAACTGCTTTGTGGCTTACGTTAGAAACCAGAAAGAAGGAGTAAAGCAAAACACATTAGATGCAATTTGAATCTAACTTGACAGAACTTCCAAGCCCTTTAGATATAGAGATATCAACACCATATATCTTATGAAGGATAACAATCTCTGACATTACTGGCTCCTGCTTTGAATGGCTCATGCTCCCCTGCTATCATACTTTTTAAATTACATAAATAGAGTGAAAATGACAAAGTATATATTAAAAAGGAGGGTATTACATTTTGCAAAATAATCTGGAACACATCAGTGAATTTTAGCAGTTATAAATTACATAGGTACAGTCTTATAGTTGATTAGCTCTCCCCCGAATGGCTCACAGAATGGCAAACCCTAAGTCCTGGGAATCGAACCCAAATTAGAATGATTCACGTGCCATCCTCTTTTTGCTCCAAGAACTTTGAAAGTCATGCCAAGCCAAACCAATGTAAATTGGTGGATTTGGACATCCTTTTCATGACCACATTATCCTTGCTGGATTGGAAACTACTTATTTTGGAAATATAATTAGACCTCTTATGATTTTTAAATGAGCAATGTCTTCAAGGTATCCATGTTGTGCTTTGGTGAAGTTTGGAGAAAAATCACTGAAGAGGTACTTCTTTTAAGAAAATACCATGACTGAAAATGCTGACAGGAATTTTGCCTGTTATGCTAAAAATACTTTGGGAACACAATGAAACTAAAACATTTTACATTTATTTTTATCAGACCAGCATTAATGTAATGTTAATGAAAAATTCTCTAAAGAAATTCACATTCACCGAAATGTCTTTTATTTGTTCCTCATCAGCTGACCTTCTTAAGTTTCAAAATAGTGTTTACTGTTGACAGAAATCACTGGGTACTGCTGTAGGGGATTTTCAAAAGTCTTCCCCCCCACCTTTTTTTTTTTTTTTTTCCTGAAGAAGCTTAGACTAGGATAGACACACAATTAGGAGTTATTAGACCAAATGGTGGTCTAAACCCAGTGGAAAGAATGCAGCTGTCATGTGTAATTCCCACCATAAATCTTAGACACTTTCCAAAAAGAAATCTAAGAGACCAGCACTGTTTCCAGAGTTGACTGACTTATCTGCCAAAATATGGGTAGTTTTCAACAATGCAGTTGAGTCTGTTAAAAATAGCTGCAAACTGTGGATTAGGTAGCATTCTTGATAGCTCAAATTATGGACAAATCACGAAGATGTGGAGTTTGAGCCTGGTTGAGAGGTGTGCCCAAAAAGCCTGCTTGTTTTTCTGGAATATAACAAAATGCATCTGAACCTCTGGAGTCTGAAATATGGGCTGGGAA